AGAGAGAGAGAGAGAGAGAGAGAGAGAGAGAGAGAGAGAGAGAGAGACTTTTTTGGCATCGGAGCAGATGGGTGAGACTGAGGATGAGCGTATGGCACAGGCTGGTGTTCTCTTTGAGAACTTTGTCAAGGCGTCCACTTGCAAAGGCTCTCTGCAGGCCTTCAGCATCCTCTGCAGGCAGCTGGAGCTGGACCCTCTGGACTATGCCAACTTCTACGGCTCGCTGAAAGCGGCGATCAGCACCTGGAAGGTCAACGTCCTGTGGACCAAACTGGACAAAAGGGCCCAGCACAAGGTTTACAACCAGAATAAAGCCTGCCCAGGCACCAGGGTAAGAGGCTACTAGTAGACATGGGGAACCAGTTTGGTGCAGTATAGCGTGTCTAAGGTAATGGGAGGGTAACACTGTTTTCTTTAGCTGCTTCAAAATAAAAGCCTCCCACCGGTTTGCTGTTAAAAGAAGCTTTTAGGTCAACAGGCAGGATTAGTAGTAACTTAAAGGTGCAATGTGTGAGATGTGGCCACATGCTCCAAAGAAATGGGTGGTGGTATTTTACCTCTACTGCTGGGTCCATACAATCTAAATATACAGTCATTAGTTATAAAAAAATAAATAAAGTAAAAGCTAACTACTAACTAACAGTATGGCAACAACAAGCAAAATCTGCCCTAACTCCTGAAACTCAAAATGCTATCTTATCTACACGTGTTATGTCGGCCTGTAGTTTACGGTAGCCATCTGCGCGCTAACTGTGTCGCTGTACGCTTTGATAGTTTGAAAGACAAAATACGAGCTCTACTTCTTTGTCCTCTCATGTTGGACTGAGGACAGACTGGACTACGGTGACTCACTGTCGCCTCTCGAGATACTTGTGGTATTACAGGACAGGACGGGCCGTGGGCTGGCTGGTTAGCGTGCTCATTTCAGTAGATATCAAGTCTTTGACGTAGAGTCAAAACTGTAACCTCTTCATATTCTGTTGATAATGTTAGTTAAATTGACCCGTTCTCTTGGGAAAACGGCCTGCAAGCACCAAGACGGGTCAAATAGTCTGTGTCGCATTATTTAGTGTGTTGGATAACAATTAGAAAGGAACTGATCAGTACAAAAAGCTTTTTAAACATAAAAAAAGTTTAATTTAGAAAAAACAAAATATGTTCGAACACATGGTCTTTTTTTTTTTAACCAACCTAGAAATCCTAAACTTAAAAAAAACATCCTAATGAATTATGGTTTATTTGTTCAAATGCCAATTAGAACCTTTACCAGTGTCGAAAATAGATTATATAAGTTGATTATTTCTGTAATTCAGAATCAGAAACGGTTCACTGCCAAGTATGTTACACACACAAAGAATTTGGCTTGGTGATACTTGGTATACTCATGCTTGGCACCGTAACGTGAGCCTCCGCAGACAGCGCGGAGCTCGAGCATGGGCGGAGGTGTTTATAATCTATGCGCTGTAAATTGCATTATTCTCCGTAACAAACAAACAAAATTAACTGTGAAGAATCAAAAAGACAAGTGTAGCCCGGCAATAAGCCATAAACCAACCTCCACAATGCCGAGGAGGGATTGCAATTATCTGTAAACTCATATCTCATATTTATTGTTACTTTATTGCCTTTGTACAAGCCCTGTAAAGAAACAAATTCAGGTATTAATCATTATAAAGACACGAAGGTTAAATGTCTGGTAAGCATTTTGATTTGACTGCAAAATATTTACTCAAAAGGAAGATATTTAAGACCTCCTGTTTCTAAAGCATCTAAAAACAAATTGGCCTTCTTTGTATAATCCCTAGAGATGTGAGCCATTTGTGACGGTCATGTGATCGCGTGCGCGCCAAGTTCAGAGGCGCACGACCAAGCACACCACGCACCGCCCGTGATTTCGTCACTTTATTACCCTGTCCCTAATCATAACCACTACCAGCCTAATCCTCGTCCTTAACCTAAACCCAACCTCACTCGAGCTTTAAACCATGTCTTCACATTAAAATGTAACGACTTATGTTATGGGGACGTGCAATTGGCCCCCAAAAGGAAGGAGATTAAACACTCGGTAACACAAATGCACTCTTCATTCAGTGCCTGATCATTGGTGGCGGCCCGTGCGGCCTGCGAACGGCCATCGAGCTGGCTCTGTTGGGCTGTAAGGTGGTGGTGATCGAGAAGAGGGACACCTTCTCCAGGAACAACGTGCTCCACCTCTGGCCCTTCACCATCCACGACCTCCGCGGCCTCGGAGCCAAGAAGTTCTACGGCAAGTTCTGCGCCGGCACCATCGACCACATCAGTGAGTGTAAATATGTGTCGGCTGTTTCTCAACTCCTCTCGCTTTGGTCCTTTTTATCAATGCGTTTATCATGAAGACAGAGCGGGGAAGTTGACTGACTATACCTTTTGAAACCTCTTTCTTTTTTCTTATGGTGCTCTGTGAAGGAATAGAAATTGTTCTTTAGCAATGTCAAATAGCTTGTCCTTCTGGACCGAGTGCTGCCGCTGGTCTACCAGCCTGCTGTTCTGTCCACTTTTTGTAACCAGTGTAGCATAACAGAATTAGCTAACTAGACAGCTGTCGACTAGTTATCTAGCTAGCTTTTTAATTCCCCCATGCTTAAATGTTAGACTGGTTACAGAAAATGAGCCGAAAAAAGTCACTTATTTGGCGATAGTGATGTGCTTTCCTACTCTGTGAAGTGTCTGGAAGCATTAAATTGTTACATTTTACTTGTTTACTCTGGCTCTCTACACTCCGTAACGTTAGACCTTCACTGTTTGTTTCAGTCGTTACTAAAAAAAACTAGCAAAACTTCCCCTCGGTGAGTTCGCGACTTGCTGTAACTAGTTTAAACATAAGTTAGCCCGCTACAATAGTAAAACATAAAAATGGCCGCCGTTCTGACTACGTTGATTTGAATGGGCATGTCCCTTCAATTGGCATTTCTTCCTCTCTAGCCTTAGTAACGGTGTGGAGTATTAATATCTCCTCTCAAAGACTATCTCTTCTGAGGGTACGTCTCATGACCCTAACTTATTCTCATCTATAAGTGCAGCCATGTCTCCCTCCAGTAACTGCTGCTGAGAAAGCATCTGTAATTACCAGCCACTGGGCTACAGCATATTTGAACTCTATAAACTCAGTAGTTTTGAGCTTTTCAGCTTCAAAGTTTTATTATCTGGTCTGGGCCTATACACAATGTTTATTATATCAGAAATTTCTATTTTAATCGTCAAGGCTGTGTATTGGCATGAATCTGGCGATGCGATGCGTATCATGATACAGGGGTTACAATTCAATTTAATTTAGGAAAACTCATCATATGATGAAGGCACTACTATATGCATAGCATCTCAGGGAAAAAAAGGAATTCACATTTCCCTACATCAGTAAAAGTAAACAAATAAAATAAAATAATTTAGGTAAGCAAATGAACTAAATGAAAAAAAATATATATAGTTTGTACAGACTGTATAGGAAAAAGAAATGGAGAACCAATGCAGTACCAAAACATATCACGATACTCCAGAGTATCACGATTATATATTATCATATATATTATATACTGTATATATTCTTCCACCCCTATCAATGGTGTCATTAAGCGAACCATTTCCTGTATTTGAACCTGCAACCTGCTCTATTTATAGCTGTGTGATGAGATTACAGTAGGTGGATAATAGCGTCCAGTGGCATATGGTGCAGTTCATAAGTAGCACTGGCAGATGCAGTGATAACAACTCGCCACCATAAATAAATCAATGCTCAGGTAGCTCACCTCATCTCAGCCCTGGTTTAAAATGCTCATTTGCTTCTTGTGCTTTTTGGATTATACAACATCCGCATGTCTATATTTGTGTGTGTGTGCACTTCAGGTATCCGCCACCTCCAGCTGATGCTGCTGAAAGTGTGTCTGATTCTGGGAGTGGAATTTTACATCAACGTGGAGTTTGTCAAACTGGCGGAGCCACCGGCAGACCAGACTGATGACAGTAAGTGTGCGTGCGCGTGCGTGCTCTGTTCTCCGTATGTTAAAGGGTCATGAGTGGCACTGACACACAGGCATATCTCAGCTATATACGGTAATCGCACCCGCTCACATAATACACATGTTAAAGTGATCAGACAGTTTCCCACAGAGGAGGCGTATGCAGTGGGAGCATTTATAGCAAACTCTATCAATAGAGTTTATAGCAAATTCTATTGATAGAGTCCGCTGATGGTTACATTTTAGTTCGACTTTGAGTTCGCCTGTGTGTCCTAGATATAGCGTGTGGGGGACTATTTTGACACTTAAACACAATCGCAGCCTTTCTTCTTGTGATGGAAGATTTCTATGATTAATCGGGAGAAGGGTGGAAGTTTTCAATCTGGATCAATAAACAGAGTCTCGAAAGAATCAAAGTTGTTGGTCTTTATTGCAATAAAGAGAGAGCAGTCCCAAAGACACGTATCTCAGTGTACTGTGAGAAGGCTTCTAAAAGGTGCAACATTCAATATCATTTATGCATACAAAAGGTTCACGCCTTACAAATTCAGATAATGTGGCAAAAGGGGAGTACAAGTATTTCAGACAGGATGTCTGTTTCTGCATCATTCAGTTTCTGGAGTCAAGGTCTCTCTGTGTCTTTCTCCTAAGACAAAGACAGTGTCTCTTCACTTCTCATCCTTCATGGGAAGAGATAACAAGACACCTGGATACAAAACTAATTAAAAAACATCACCTGACTACGAGAAGTACATTCTTTAAAACTAAGCATGATACAATAATATATTTTCCCATCACATTCCACTCTTTTGATTATACTTTAATCACACAATATTGCAAAAATATGTTACAAGGACATCACAATAACATCAGAAGCATTTCTCCCAAAATATGGTTTTAAAATACATCATGTTTTTGTGAGCTGTTTTTGTGAGATAAAGGATCTCTGTAATGTAGCAAGCAAGATATGTCTGGATAATAAAAATATTGAATAATAATAAAACAAAGAAATCACATGTTACACCTTTGTCTACACCTCATCAGTCTCGGAGTAAGAGTCTGTGTAGCTTTGGTAGTCAGGGGTGGGGAAAAGGTCCGGTTGGTCATCTGCGGGCATCCGTTTTACCCGCTCTGTAGTTGCGTTCGTCCATGTGCTGTCATTGTGAGTCGTCGAGTTGGAAGTCGGTGTGTCTAGATCATAGTGATGGATGTGATGCAAAACAAAGGGTAAAACAACAAGTATGGAAACAACAAAAACAAATGTTAATGTACCTCGTGTGCCACAAACGCGACGGAGCGGACTCCATGGACGTTGTCGCTCCATGTTTGAGTTCAACAGCCAATCAGTTCGTATGGAATTCACCCGAGCAACTGATTTGTGTGAGCGTTTACGGTTTGTGTTGACACCGTTGAGGTTTCCACCAAGCTCAGAGACACTGTTATTACCACTCTTTTGTTCTACGTGTGTGTGCAACTATATGTGTATTTCTGGGACGAATGGGTAGCTCCCTTGATGGCAACGGTCTGTTACTCTGCGATGTCCTCCTGGTGCTCTCTGCGCGACTGAGGACGACACAGAACTAGTCTGTCGGAAGCCCCAGATCCCACGAAGGTGACACAGAAAACTTTTCTGCTCGTCACTTGCGGCACCCTTGATGGTGACGCAGCTGTCCGTCACTTGTTGTAGGTGATGGCACACCTGATGAAGGGGTTGGACTTGTCTCTGCCGGTGAAGGGACCCTTTTGTAGTGTGTTGCGTGAATCCAGGTCGCTCTCTCTGCCACTATCACAGCCGTGTGCGTGACGAGTAGAATCTGGAATGGACCCTGCCACCGTCTCGCCTTCCAGCTTTTTCTCCTGAAGTCCTTCACCACCACGAATTCACCAGGCTGCAGTCTGTGTAGAGGGCCCGTGGCCTCCTTTGCAAGTGCAGCTACAAACTGTTTTCTTATGTCAGACAGAATAGAGGACAAGTGAGTGCAATAGGTTAGCATGTCATTTTCACATAATGTTGGAGATGGAAGAGGTGCCGTCGGAGCGTCCACGCCAATGTGGGGAGGTACTGCAAACAAGATTTCAAAAGGGCTGAGATTACTGCGTGTTCTTTTCCTCATCCGCATGTACATCAGAACCAGCGGCAGAGCTTTTGTTCATGGTAAACCTGTGTCGGTGCAACATTTAGCTAATTTTGTTTTCAGTGTTCCATTCTCTCGTTCAACAGCGCCTCCACTGGCTGGATGATAAGCACAGTGTGTCTTCAAATCAATACCCATGTATGCACCTAACTCTGTGATTGCTTGATTGACAAAGTGTGATCCATTGTCACTGGAAATTTTGGTCGGAATACTCCAGCGAGGTATTATTTCAAAAATCAGTGCTTTGGCCACTGTTGTCGCGGTTTGTTGACTTGATGGAAACACTTCAACCCATTTAGACCACATGTCTACCATCACGAGACAGTGTTTTTTTACCTTCAGATGGGGTGAGTTCCACAAAATCCATCATTACATGTTCAAAAGGTCGAGTTGGCGGTGGATGTGCCGCTTGATGTGTAACAGGTACCGGTCGACCTATATTGTGTGTAGCACATGTTATACATGCCTGGCAGTACTTCTGTGCATATGCTGCAAAACCCTTGGTGAACCATGTTTCATCAATAATGCTTAACATCCCCCCTTTTGACACATGGTCTAACCCATGTGTTAACTTAGCGTAGTGAGGGAAGAAATGTTTAGGCAAGCAGGGGTTACCGTTAGGGCCAAGCCACGTGTCGTCAGTGAATTTTGAACCTGATGAGGACCACAAGCGCCTTTCGTCAGGTGTGGAGAAGGACTGCATCGCTGAGAGGGAAGAAGGAAGTGAGACCATGACAGGTGTAGGCTGCGGGGTGTCAAAAGGAAGCAGAGCAGCAGCTTTAGCAGCTGTGTCTGCGCGGGCATTTCCTCTAGAAATATCATCAGTGTTAGATGTGTGAGCTGCACATTTGCAGACAGAGATGGCTTTAGGCAACAAAATGGACTCCAATAGCTCTGCTATGAGTGTGTGGTGCAAAACGGGTTTCCCATCTGATTTGAGAAAATGTCTGTGTTTCCATAATGCGCCAAAATCATGCACTACCCCAAAAGCGTATCTGGAGTCAGTGTGAATGGTCACAGTTTTACCCTCTGTGAGTTTGCAGGCTTCCGTGAGGGCGATAAGCTCTGCGGCCTGGACTGAGAGGTGACATGGGAGAGGTCCAGAACAGAGAACAGCTGAGTCAGAAACAATAGAAAAACCAACAAGATTAGTACCAGTCTGTGGATCCCGTGAAGCAAATCCGTCAACATACATTACCATGTCACAGTTGGTCAAAGGAATGTCCAAAAGGTCTGGTTGAGGAGTGCACTGAGCTTGGAGCTCAGCCAAACAGTGATGCTCCTCACCATCTCCAGGAAGAGGAAGTAAAGATGCTGGGTTAAGATTAGTACAGCGTTTGACAGTGACGTTCGGCATGTCGAGGAGACATGTGTGGTAACGCAAATATCTCGCTGCGGATAGATGTGATGACTTCTGTTCGAGAAGGATCAGTGAAACAGAATGTGGAACGAGCAAAGTCAGTGGAGCATAACCAACAATGTCACGTGAAGCTGCTAGAGCTTTTTCAGCCGCGGCCACTGCACGGAGACATTGTGGCAGGCCTGCGGCGACAGGATCGAGTTTAGCTGAGAAATAAGCAACTGGGCGCAATTTGTCACCATGAGACTGTAATAACACAGATGTCATACAACCTAAGTGTTCATCGACGGTTTGAGTGAACGGTTTGTGTGGATCTGGCAAACCCAAAGTGGGCGGTCTTTGTAATGCGCACTTCATTGTCGAGAATGCCTCTGAGGCTTGTTTTGTCCATTTGATTTTGTCGTGCGCGGTGAGATTCTTCCCATGAATTAGTTCAGACAGTGGCTGTTCTAACTGTGTAATTTGGAATGAAAGCGCGGCAATATGAGCACATTCCTAAGAATGACATCATTTGTTTTTTTGTCGTTGGTTTTGGAATAGACACTATGGATGCAATGCGTTTGGGAGACAGGTTTTTCCCTTCTCCTGAAATGTCATGACCGAGAAAATGTACATTTTGTGAGACAAACTGTAGATTTGATAGGCTGGCCTTGTGGCCTTCGGCAGCCAAATGTTTGAGCAGTTTGATTGTGTCTTTTTGACATTGTTGTTTCGTTGGAGCAGCAATGAGACAGTCGTCAACGTATTGCAGGAGTGCAGAACCTGGAGATAGAGTGAGACTCTCTAAGCTTTCCCTGAGCGCTTCATTGTAGATGGTTGGAGATTCAGTGTAGCCTTGACACAGACGAGTGAAAGTGTATGGCTTACCATTGAAGTTGAATGCAAACCAGAACTGGCTGGCTTTGTCCACTGGGACACTGAAAAAAGCATTTGACAGGTCAACCACAGAAAACTATTTAGCAGTGGGAGGAACCTGGGCTAAAATAGTATATGGATTAGGGACATTTGGAGCCCGTGCATGGACAGCTGCATTAACTGCTTTTAAGTCTTGAACAAATCGCCATTCTGTTGGTTTGCCTGCATCACGAATCTTTTTAACAGGAAAAATGGGTGTTCTTACCGGGGAATCTGGACATGAAACAATCACGCCTGCTTGTAGGAGTGAATCAAACACTGGAGTAATACCGTCAATGGCCTCTTGGCGCAGTGGGTATTGATGTTTGTGAGGGCGGAAATCAGAACGAGGGGTGATGACAACCGGTTGGCAGTGTTTGATACAGCCTATGTCATATTTGTGCGAAGCCCAGAGTGTCTGTGGAACAGAAGCAAGGGCTGGGGAGATGGAAGAAACATCAGTTACAAGTGTGCCAATTGCAACAGGTGGTAACAATAATTCTTCGAAGACATAAACAGAGCGAAGTGCAGGTGTCAACATAACACAGAAACATCGGTGAAAACCCGTAGATGGTGAACGTAAAACGTTAGGGTCACAGATCGGCTGCCAGTCTGTCAGTTGTTCACATTGTGCCACAAATGGACCCAAATCTCTCCATTGATCAGTCCGTGCTTTGGACAGGGAAATGTGTGGGTAAGAATCCTCGACTTCGAACATTTCCTGTTGTGTGGGTAAGAGACAGACAGACACAGCAGATTTGTGAGTTGACCAAAACAATGTTGAACAATGCAAAGTGTCATTCACGTCTTCAAGGAAAGCGTCAGCATATTGGTCGTCAGGACCAAAAGAGACATGTGAAGTGCAATGAAGGTGTTCAGGGTTCATGCGGACAGCATGAGGAGAAACACGAGTCAACTGCATGAGTTATTGCTTTTCCATGGTCAATGGGAAGCATCCATTGATAGACATACAGTGGGTCAACATGAGTGTGTTGCAACATTTGTTTCACTACTCGTCGTCTCACTACTTTCAAGCCGTCAGGAGAAGATGTCAAAGAGATGCCAAATGAGCACATCAAGTCTCTGCCCATCAGGTTAATGGGACAGAAAGAGGAAAGTAGAAACGAATGTTTCACTTTAATGTCAGGGTCTGGGTCGGTCACGTCCGTGTGTACACTTGTCATTGGAACAGTAAATTTTTCTGTAACAGTTAAACCTGAAGCCCCTTGAGAATAGACATATCTACCACTCATACTCTGATTAACAAAATGTTTTTTCTGAATAACAGAATGTGTGGCCCCTGAGTCGACCAAAAATGACAATGTTTTCCCATTTACAACCACATCAGTGAGCGGCATTTCTTTAAATGGTTCCGTAGAAAACTTTGCGTGTGTGTGTTGTGCTTGGGGTGTTCGTTCATGCTGTTGTTCTAAGTGTTTGATGATACTGAGTAGAGCTGTATGCTGCTCTGGAGTGTGCGTGTGAGGAAGCAGGTCTTCGTTGCGAGCAAATGTGTGTTTGAGTGTATTGTGCATGTGTGTGTGAGTTTCACTTCCCGTATCTGGCTGAGTCATTGGAGCAGAAGTCATCTTCCCCACACACGCACCGCCTCCCTCCCCCACATCACGTCAGTCTGAAGTGCCGAATTGGTGCAGGTCCTCCCTTTCTCCTTCTCTGTTGTCACGTGGTTGGCGTTTTGATGGCCAACCACCTCTCTGGGCGGGGTGAGGGCAATCCCTGCGCCAGTGTCCTGATTCGCCACAGCGGTAACACACTTCATTTCCTGTAGGCGGGTCTCGTTGTGCTCCTGCACTGCTGTTGAAAGATGTTCTCCCAAGTCCCATTCCTCGTCCGCGAGCCCTATGTTGGCCGCTCCAGTTGCTGTTTCATTGGAATGTTCCTCTCTGACTTGCTGCTGGGTGGTTTTGCATTGAAAGCTGTGATATGGCTTGAAGCATAGAGAGTTGAGATTTCTCCATGGTTGTGTTTGTGCACTGATCTTGGCGTTGTTGATTCTCAGTGTGCATTTGGTAATTGTGTTTTGCATGTTTCACCACTTCTGTGAGTCTGGCGTCCTGCAGGCCTATTACTGATCGCTCAGTAGCGTACCTTATGTCGGGCAATAGTCCATTCATGAACGCATTTTTGAGGTGTGTTTCCCACACTTTCATTTGAGCTTTTTCTGCAGTGGATGGTTCAATTATACCACCGTGCGCTTGGAAAGCGGTGAGCATGCGTTGGTAGAAGTCCCCAATCTTGTCGTTGTTTGGTGCTGTTGATGAGGGACATGTCGACTTTAGGTGGAAACTTTAAGTCGATGCCGGCGCAGAGCGCAGTCACGAAATTTCGATGAGCGTTGTCTGCGTGGTCCCATTCAGGTTTTAGCGGTGTTGAGTTGGCTCCTGCTGCGAGGAGATAGTCTTTGATCGTGTCGTGGTGGACCGGACCAGCATGCAACATGATTAGACGGTTCAGTTCTTGTCCTGTGGGCAGGAACTGTTGGCAGAAGAGTTTAAATACTGCCGTGAATTGTACTCCTCCCGTTATAGGGGGCAAGTGGGCCGAAGCTGCCATGATGTCCGAATTCGTCCATGGGCGGAAAACGAGGTGCGCTGCTCCGTCCACTCCTGGGACTTAGATCATGGGATAACTGCTGCTGTTGTTATCGCTGAAGTTTGGCTGTGGCTCTCCCCCTTCTGCGCCTGCTGGGCTGAGGGAAAATGACCGAGCATCTCTCATGTCCCAGCTGCGCGGGTCAGTCCACTGGAAGGAGTGAGTCTGCTGTGGAGTAGTTGTTGCTGGAGTCGATGATGCAAGAGGGTACATTGTGAATGGATTTTTGTTGTTCTGTGGCGGTGTAAACGGAGTGGCCCGCAGCTGACTGTTCTGATCATCAGCGAGTTGCTGATGTTGTGTGTACAGACGAGTATCGCGCCTGTCAGTCAGTGGGCCTGTTTGTGGTTGTGAGGTGACAGCCGGAGTTGCTTCTGGTGGATTGTATGATGGTGATGGTTGTAGTTGTGATGGTGGTGGAGATTGGCGTCTGCATGTGTCAAGAAGAGGACCTCCAGCTCCCGTCAAACTCGGATACAGGGAAGAAGAAACAAAAGGATTATTAGGATTTTGTCCCCTGTTTGGATCAGTATCATGTTGCTTTTTATCAGTCACTTCTTGTTTCACACATGTCAGTTGTTTCATGTTCTGTTTTCTCTCCCGAAATTCACTCTCCAATTCCCACTGAACCAGACATTTCTGGTTTTTCTCCATAATTTCTAAATCTTTGAGTCTCACATTCTTCCTCTTTTTATTTCTCATGTCTTTCTCTTTAGCTTCTAAATCCCTTCTTAACATTTTAAGTTTCGTGGAGCTTAATGACCCGTTCTTTGGAAAACCAAAAGTGCATGTCCAGTAATTTAGACACTCTACACATTCTTCACCATATTTTTGTGTCATCATAGCCACAATCTGTCCCTCTGGAACATGTTGTTGACTCTGTTGTCCACCCATTCTTTCAGGCGTGGTAAGTACTTTTATTCTTTAAGATATACCAGTAGTCGTCACTATAAATATTAGTTTAAATTCACACTTAAATTCACACGTTCAAGGATGACGTCATCTTATCAGAAATGGTCTTATTTATCAGAAATTCACACTTAAATTCACACGTTCAAGGATGACGTGGTCTTATCAGAAATGGTCTTATTTCTATCCGTGGTCAAGATATCTGTATTACGATCTTTAAATGTTTTGTATTTAAAGTACAATCGTTATTTCGTAATTACAACTCTGTCTTCCACCGTAAACAACTCGATCATTGATATAATGCCACAAAATTTGTTTTATTGCAACATTCAATATCATTTATGCATACAAAAGGTTCACGCCTTACAAATTCAGATAATGTGGCAAAAGGGGAGTACAAGTATTTCAGACAGGATGTCTGTTTCTGCATCATTCAGTTTCTGGAGTCAAGGTCTCTCTGTGTCTTTCTCCTAAGACAAAGACACAGTGTCTCTTCACTTCTCATCCTTCATGGGAAGAGATAACAAGACACCTGGATACAAAACTAATTAAAAAACATCGCCTGACTACGAGAAGTACATTCTTTAAAACTAAGCATGATACAATAATATATTTTCCCATCACAGTCTACTAAGGAGAACTGAGCAACATACTGTAGCTGCTGTGTGCTAGTTGGGTAATAAACGCATAAACCTCATTTGGTCAGAAGAAAACATAACACAAGAAACACTATAGTCCCCGCATGTATTGTTACTGCCTTCCAGTTCTTAAAGACCTCAGCGTCGTCACTTTAGGTATTCACCTATTCTCTTTAAATTACATTTATATCATGGTGAAAAAATTATCACATTGGTTTGTTCCTCAGGTCCTGGGTGGCGAGCAGAAGTCCGGCCCCCTGGCCATCCCGTCTCCGACTTTGATTTAGACGTGGTGATTGGAGCGGACGGACGCAAAAACACACTGGACGGTGAGGATAAAAAGGAAAACCAGAACTCGCAAGCAAGGGGTGCTGCTAGTTGGCAGCCTCCTAAAACTTTCATTCCCATTGACAGATTTTGTAATGGGTAACGTTTGCTTTTGACTTATCACAAATGCATATCAAAGGAGGCTGGGGTGGTGTATGGGTCCAAAGACGCATGACTGTCATCCAGGCGACCGCTGTTAGTGTCCCAGTGTGAAAACAAGCACTTTTGTTGCGTTTTTCTGTTATGTGTCACTTTAGGCCAAACCACAATGTTTTTTTACTAAACCTAACCATGTTGTTTTGTAGCGTGTTTGTGTTTTGTTTCAATTTGAGAAAAATAATTTCCCTCGAAACGTCATCGAGAGTGCATGTGTACGGGAGCATAACGATGTAGGAGACGAGGTTGTGTGGGGTAAACTATGATTGGTTAATATGGTTCAAAATGAGTCCCAAGAAAATGATTTGTTCCAGACATAATATTTGTTTTTGTTTTTACTGGGGAAAAAAAGAGGTGAGGTGTGGGTTAAGCATTTCCTGTTGACATAGTTTTAACTAGAAGCTATTGCTTTGTATGGGGTCAGTGTGAGTGTGTATCTGCTGTTTGAGAGCTTTCTTAGATTTCTGTCAGGGAGTAGTTCATGCTATGTTTGATTTGTGCTCATCTGTTTGAACTGTGTGTGTGTGGTTTACGTGTTGCTGACACATCAAGTAACTTTCTCGACTCTATAAGCATTTGTGTCTCCATGACTGCTGGAAACTCCTTAATGTAGATATACCTACTGCAGCTAGGAGGCTCAGCAACTCTTTGAATATTTTTCTTTATGTCTGACTCTTATATTTATATTGCTAAAAAATCAGTTGTTTTTTTCCTTCCCTTCTCTGCAGGTTTTGGGCGCAAAGAGTTCCGAGGGAAGTTGGCCATCGCCATCACGGCTAATTTCGTCAACAGGAACACCACAGCGGAGGCCAAAGTGGAGGAGATCAGTGGTGTGGCCTTCATCTTCAACCAGAAGTTCTTTCTGGAACTCAAAGAGGACACAGGTAAATTAGACCACCAGCAACCCTTACTACAAAGCCTCATTTTCTCTGTAAAGTAAAGTAAATCTGCTTGTGTTTTCAGGAATCGACTTGGAGAACATTGTTTACTACAAAGACAATACCCACTATTTTGTCATGACGGCAAAGAAGCACAGTCTGCTGGACAAAGGGGCCATCATAAATGTGAGTTTACACACGCATATGTAAATACAGCTGAACTAATTTTGAAACCCGATTTTAATTTAGTCTCAGACAAAATATCAAAATTTACTTCAAATTTTAGTCTTTTATTTTTTTTGTTTTAGTCTAATTTCAGCATTTTCAATTATTATGTCTTCTTAGCCTTCTGAGGTTACAGCTAACATCTTTGTTGTGTACAGTTAGCGTGGTTACAGGTTTTTTAGCATTGCGTTCCATTGACATTAACGATGTCGGACTCACAATGGACAAAAAAAGGATCTTCCTTGTCAAAACATGGGGCCTACATTACCCATAATGCAACTTGAGTGTCAGCAGTTGGTTAGGAGATCCAGTTGTGTTATGCTAGTAGCATGCTAATGTAGCCTCTATCCTGCTGCAGAGATGAGGAGCGAGCTACAGAAGTCACTCTACACCTCCAGATTTATTTTTTATTGACTTATGTAGATTTATTTAGCCCCAAATCTGTCACATACAAATTTGCATACATAACTATTAACACAAGACCAAAGGAGGATTTAAGTGGACAAACAATGGGGTTTAGTGATTGATCTTAGACCCACACATTTACGTCTGTCTGGCTGCTGATTGGTCGCCTGGCCGGGCTGCTCCTCTCCCAAACTCCACAATCGCAGCAGAGCTTATTTCTAAGAGATATTGGCGACTGACCGAAATTCTAATACTTATAAAATATTTTCTTTCTTGTAGTTTGTGTTGACGTAAGTAACGCCCCAATTCGCAGCCAAAACTCCCTGAAGCGCACTTGTAGGCCACAAACACACACACACACAGCTCTCTTTGACAGTGAGTGATGGGCCTCCATAGGGGATGATAATGACATAATGCTCTAATTAGCTGCAGCTTATTCTATGTCCTTCACACACACACAGACACACACAAACACACACAAAGACATTTTGAGCTAGCGAGGGTTGCTGTCCTCTGGAGACAGATTAAATGAGGATATTATTATGGCATCAGAGTGCTGTCTGTTGTCAACCGTCCCGTCCAGAGCTTGCCAGGACAATCATCAGAAAACACACACACATAGACACACACAGGTGTTGAAGCTCTGCCTTGCTGTGGCCTCAGTGGTCTCTATCTCATCTTACATCACCCATTAGTGCAGAGTGACATCTCACTGCGTCAGCACGTGGCCAAAGCCTCAGAGGCCTCATCATCACCGATAATAGCTCACTGATTCAACAAACCGACCAACTCCGTTTTGTCACGGATGTTCCTCTTGCAGCGAAACACACCGGTCTAAATTCATTCCCCACCCCCATCCACACACACACACTTTTCTCAGTTCACCACACCATGCTGGTTCTCAGGAGGTTTTCCTTTTTGATGCATCTGGCTTTCGTAGCAAGTCAAAACAACATGACATAGTTATTTCTTGAGCGACTCAAAGGGAGATGGCATCGTTCATGGGGGGTGACAGTACAACAATATAAGTTCCTTCTCTGTTTTATCTTTAGCTAAATACTACTTTGCATTCACAAGCTAGCTGGTAACTTTGCTTTGTATGCCTTTTAACTGGAAAGAGCCTGCTGCTGCTGAAAGCAAGGTTGATAAGAGTGGTGTTTAAGGGCTGCTAGAATACCCCCCAAAATGAGCTAAGGGATGCTAGAAAGCAGTCACTTAACCCCCCCCCCGCGTCTCAATACAGGACTATGTAGAAACGGAGCGTCTGCTGAGCGTCGACAACGTCAACCAGGAAGCCTTGCTCTCGTACGCCCGCGAGGCTGCCGACTTCGGCACCAACTACCAGCTGCCGTCCCTGGACTACGCCATCAACCACTACGGGCAGCCGGACGTAGCCATGTTCGACTTCACCAGCATGTACGCCTCGGAGAACGCCGCCCTGATCAGGGAAAAACACGGACACCAGCTGCTGGTCACGCTGGTGGGAGATAGTCTGCTTGAGGTACGAGGTGGCGGGCCCAAGCACTGTGTTGCTTCTTTGACCTGCACCCTGACTGAGAATTAGCTTGTGTGTTCACGCTGACACCATGTTCTCTGTTTACAGCCTTTCTGGCCCATGGGTACAGGTTGTGCTCGAGGCTTTCTGGCAGCCTTCGACAGTGCTTGGATGGTGAGGGGCTGGGCACAGGGCAGGAGCCCTCTGGAGATACTGGCTGAGAGGTGCGTGGGTTCATGTTCCATACCCTCTAATTGTCGACTTTGTGCACAAGAAATTAGATACCAGGGCTAGACATTAAACTTTTTCAGGCCAATTGCCCGATAGACAAATCTCTTGTCTAAAATGGGGATTGGTAGGCCTATTTATAAATTAATAAAATCAACAGGGATTTGGACAATTATGATAACTTATTAACGTACACAATTGATAAGCTACCAGACTCCATTAACAGAAACGGTAATTACAGTTAGTCTTTCCACTGTTCCGTTCCCTGAATACAATGACTCTTGATGTGAAATTTCTTGTTGAAGGTCATGCTCCTTAGAGGATGAATGCAAATGTTTATAGCGACCCTATGACCTTTTCTCCCGCTCCACATTCAGTCTAAACTTTGCACATGTAATGAAGAACTTTGAAAATGTGAAAAACAAATTGGCTCATCATTAACTGACCACATTCATGCTCCCCAGAAGTTGGACTGCTTAAATGAAATATCTCATAATCTAGTGGGCAGATTGGTATAACTTTAACTATGCACAATTATGTTTTCCAGTGGATGCTTTGTATTAAAAAAATCGACTTGGCCCGCACAGCCCCGAAGCTCCACCCCTGCTGCTGCACAGAGCTCTATTGCTTATTCCAAGTTTATTAACATTGATACAGACAGAGATTCCTTGCTTTGTAGTTACATTTTACTTTATTTACAGGTCAGTGTTCTGTTTCTGATTTTGCTTCTAATGAACCATACCACCTTTGAAGTGTCACATGACTATGAATAGCCTTGTTATCACTCGCTGAAACAAAGCAAAGTAGCAGTAGTCAGAAATACCAGTCTGGAAATGTCTGGTGGCAAAGCACAAGTGATGTTGATTTTACCATAATGGTCTTTATTCGTAGTTTTGAAAGCAACGTTTTTGCTTCCGGCTCGCGTCAGTGTTTGCTGTCTTCGGTGCGGTTCTCATGTGGTCATATCTGCCCTGTCGTTTCCTCAGGGAGAGTATCTACCGGCTGCTGCCTCAGACCACCTCAGAGAACATCAGTAAAAACTTTGAACAGTACGCCATTGACCCCGCCACCCGCTACCCCAACCTCAACTCTAGCTGTGTTCGCCCACACCAGGTCAGTCCCAGCACTTTGAGACATTTTAGTGCTCAGCGACAGGGATATTGGATTGTAATGATTCAGTCTTATTTGAGTGATTTAAGAACAATCATTATCATTGAAACCTGGAGTGTTACATGTTTTTAAGGAAGAGTGAGAGTTGTTAGCAATAACTATGTTCCTTTATTAGCTCAGCCAACCAATAGCCACACACAGTGAATGTTACTCTAGCTATTTTTCATCAAGTATATCGCTCTTATTTGTCCAACTTCCGTTCTCCTTGAAGGGGCTCCTAGGAGATTTGTGTCTACTCCAAATCCTACTATTTGCTTTTGCCATGACTTAAGTGTCCCTTTGAATGTGTTAAAAGATCAAGTCTGAATTGAATTTTTCCTTTCATATCTTCTCCCGTGTTTTTCTACTTCCTTCAGGTGCGTCACCTGTTTATTGATGGCCAGCAGGACTCGTGTCAGCTGGAGAGAGGAGGACCCACACGGAGATCAGTGAACTTGTCCAGAAGAGGTGAGGGGGAATCATATATATATATATATATATATATATATATATATATATATCTATATCTATATCTATATCTATATATATATATATAGATATAGATATAGATAGATAGATAGATAGATATACACAGATATAGATGTTTATATATACATATACATATACATATATACATATACATATATAGATATACATATGTGTATATGTATATATGTATCTATGTATATATATCTATATACGTGTATATATATCTATGTATATATATCTATATACGTATATGTATATATGTATG